ATTTTGCCTTTTTGCATTTCTTTTTCATGGGAATGGTTTTGATCACTGCCTCCTGTATAATATCACAAACCTCCACCCATAGTCCTTCGGTACTCTGTCTATCAGATCTAATCCCTTGAATCTATTTGTTACTTCCATTGTCTTCCATTGTATAATCATAAGGCATTTGATTTAGGTCAAACCTGAATGGTCTAGTGGTTTTCACTACTTTCTTCAATTTAAGTCTGAATTTTGCAATAAGGAGTTCACGATCAGAGCCACAGTCAGTTCCTGGTCTTGTTTTTGCTGACTGTATAGAGTTTCTCCATCTTTGGCTGCAAAGAATATAATCAATCTGATTTCAATATTGATCATTTGGTTATGTCCATTTGTAGAGTCAACTCTTATGTTGTTGGAAGAGGGTGTTTGCCATGACCAATGCATTCTCTTGGCAAAACTCTGTTAGCCTTTGCCCTACTAAATTTTGTACTCCAAGGCCAAAGTTGCCTGTTACTCCAGGTATCTCTTGACTTCCTGCTTTTGCATTCCAGTCCCCTATGATGAAAAGGACATCTTTTTTGGTGTTAGTTTTGGAAGGTCTTGTAGGTCTTTATAAAACTGTTCAACTTCTTTGGCATTAGCAGTTGGGGCATAGACTTGGATTACTGTGATAATGAATGGTTTACCTTGGAAACGAACAGAGATCATTCTGTCATTATTGAGATTGAACCCAAGTAATGCATTTTTTAACTCCTTTGTTGACTGTGAAGGCTACTCCATTCCTTCTAAGGGATTGTTGCCCACAGCAGTAGATATAATGGTCATCTGAATGAAATCCGTCCGTCCCAGTCTATTTTAGTTCACTGATTCCTTAATGTCAGTGTTCACCCTTGCTATCTCCTGTTTGAGCACTTCCAGTTTACCTTGATTTGTGGACCTAACATCCCAGGTTCCTATGCAATATTGTTCTTTACAGCTTCAGACTTCCATCACCAGTCACATGCACAACAGGGCATTGTTTTTGCTTTGGCTCCATCTTTTCATTCTTTCTTGATCTATTTCTCCACTCTTCTCCAGTAGCATATTGGGAACCTACCAACCTGGGGAGTTTGTCTTTCAGTGTCATATCTTCTGTCTTTTCATACTGTTCATGGGGTTCTCAAGGCAAGAATATTGATGTGGTTTGCCATTCCCTTCTCCAGTTTCTGGTTCTGTCCAACAGTCCTTGATGTTCTATTCTTGTAGCTACTCCTTACTCCAGTCTCTTAACTCTGTTCTCCTTATGTTTCTTCTCTTAAAAGATGGGATGGAGGGTCCAGGCTACTCCAGTATGACCTGAGTTTAACTGATTACATCTGCAATGGCACTGATTCCAGATAAAGTTGCATTCGAAGGTCCAGGAAGGACATGAGTGGGAGTAGGGGAGAGAATTTGACACTATCCAACCCAGAATAGCTGTCAAAGAGCCTAAGAAGTAGGCAAGCCAAATACTGACAATCAACAGCTGTAGTACAAGTGAACGCAAACATATTTTAGTTGGATCTGAGAAGTTTTCATGGACACTGGGGCTTCCCAGGTGGTGCTGATGGTCAAGAACGCACCTGCCAGTGCAGGAGATGTAAGAGACACAGGGTTTCATCCCTGGGTCGGGAAGATTGCCTGGAGGGGGACATGACAACCCACTCCAGTATTCTTGCCTGGAAAACCTCATGGACAAAGGAGCCTGGCGGACTACAGTCCATAGGGTCACAAAGAGTCAGACATGAACGAAATGACTTAGCACACACACACAGACAGACGCACACATACTCACGGTGAGGGGTGGGTAGAATTTGGATGTGTCATTCGTAGACCATCACAGCATGCTTGGCAAACAGACAGCAATGACAAGCACTGGTTGAAATGTAAAAAGAAGTTAGGTTAAAGCAGGAGGGATCTTGAATGCAGGCTGAAGAGTTTGGAGTCTGCTCTGTATGTTAAAAGAATAAATTGAAATGTTTCAGAATGTGGGCGTTGTGCTTTGAAGATTAATTAGTAACTTGAGCCAAACTTCTGTTGTGTTACTTACTCCAATTTAATGAGCATTAATCCCATCCTCTAATACCCTGTGCTCTTTCTTCCTGGTGTCCCTGCTCATGCTGTCCTTTATTTCTGGAATGTTGCTTTTAGGCCATGTGATTTTCACTTGTTGAGATATATATATATATATACATATATATTTTGTCATGGAAATTGTGCTATGATATGAGGTGGGGAGGAGAGTTGTTCAACTTACTATTTTTTTAAATTGAAGTATAGTTGATTTACAGTGTTGTGTTTCAGGTTACAGAAAAGTGATTCATATAGATTCTCTTTCAGATTCTTCTCCATTATAGGTTATTACAAGATACTGAATATAGTTCCCTGTACTTTAGTTCCTTATGTGTTCCCTTGTTGCTTACCTATTTTATATATGGTAATATGTATGTATTAATCCCATACTCCTAATTTATCCCCCCTCTTCCCCTTTGGTGACCAGAAGTTTGCTTTACATGTCTGTGTCTATTTTTATTTTGTAAATAAAAAATGCTTTCTGTGTGTCTATTTTTTTTGTAAATAAAAATGTTTTGTATCAATTTTTTAGATTCCATATATAAAGGATATCATATGCTATTTGCCTTTCTCTGTCTGACTGACTTCACTTAATCTCTAGGTCTATCCATGTTGCTGCAAATGGCATTATTTCATTCTTTTTGTGGCTGAGTAATATTCCATTGCATATATGGAATATTATCTTCTTTCTCCACATCTTTTTTCTCCATCATCTGCCAACGGGCATTTAAGTTGCTTCTGTGTCTTGACTATTATAAACCGTGCTGCTGTGAACATTGGGGTACAGGTATCTTTTAGAATTAGAGCTTTTGTCTTTTCTGAGTATATATCCAGGAGTAGAATTTTTGGATCATATGGTAACTCTAAGGATTTTTTTTTTTAACTCTAAGGATTTTTTAAGGAACCTTCAGACTGTTCTACATAGTGGTTACATCAAATTTACATTTCCACCAATAGTATAGGAGGGTTCCCTTTTCTCCATACCCTCTCCAGCATACTTTTTGTTGATGGCCATTCTGATCTGTGTGAGGCGATACTTCATTGTAGTTCATCCTTATTTTATATTGTTAGTATCCCCCTGATGGCACAAGCAAGCAAACAAACAACAACAAAAAACACTAGAGACCAAACTCACATAGATACAGTCTTCTAAAGTAAAATATTTGCAAATTAATCCCATACTCCATCTGG